CACACAACCACACCACACACAACCACACCACACACACACACACACACCACACACACACACAACCCCCACACCCCCACACACACACACACACACACACACACACCCACACACACACACACACACACACACACACACACACACACTCACACACACACACAGACACTCACACAGACATACACTCACTCACACATACACACAGACAGACACTCACACATACACACACAGACTCACACACAGACTCACACACACAGACAGACTCACACACACACACACACAAACACACACACATGCAGACATACAGACACACACTCACACACACACATACACACACACACTCACACAGACATACACACACACACACACACACACACAGACACTCACGCAGACATACACTCACTCACACATACACACACACACACAGACAGACTCACACACACACACACAGACAGATACTTACACTCTCTCACACACACACTCACACACACACTCACCCTCAAGTGAAGACTTTCCCCCAGACTTTTCTTTTGAAAGTAAGAATCGCGAAATCAGGACCTTTATTATGAAATTTACAAATTCTCCTCCCGGATGTTGATTTTTCCCCCGTGGTGAAACATCCGGTACTTATCATTCATTGTTTTCAAAATGAAGGATGTCTGTTTAGATCGACATTTATTGTAGTTTTGGCTTGCACTCTTACAGGAAAAACGACTGTTTAATTCAGAAATAACGATTGTGAACATTAGCAGGCTGCCGCTGCTGCTCAGCAAACATGCCTCTCGGTCTAAAACCATGCTGCGCTGTCTGCAAGACCAACTCTTCCTCCATGTGGAAAAAAGGCAGCCAGGGGGAGATTTTGTGTAACAGCTGCGCGAGTAAAAGCTCAAGCAGCGGCGGCTCCGGAGCATCTGCTTCCTCCAGCATCCAGCAGAATAACGGCGGAGGGAAACAGGTCTGAAGACTTGCTTAAAAACTAGCTTTGCACACAGAGCTGGGCACATTACTTACTAACTAACCCGTTACTGATGACAAATTACATGACACAAAATATAGTTAGTAATGTAATCCAATCACAGCACACATTTTAGGCATATCTCGTTTATTGCATTGATTTAAATAAGATAATCTTGTACCATACCCATATATATATCTATCTATATATTCCATTCATTGTTATTAAAGGAGTAGTTCACTTCCAAGAACAAAAAAAATACCCCCTTGTCATCCAAGATGTTCATGTCTTTCTTCAGTCTTAAAGAAGTTATGTTTTTTGAGGAAAACATTTCAGGATTCCTCTCCATATAATGGACTTCTATGGTTCCCCCCTGAGTTTAAACAGCCAAAATGCAGTTTAAATGCAGCTTCAAAGAGCTCTGAACGACCCCAGCCGAGGAAGAAGGGTCTTATCTAGCGAAACCATCTGTTATTTTCTAAAAAAAAAAAAGTTAATATATACTTTTTAAACTCAAACCTGTTTTTTCCGGTTCAATACAGTTAGGGTACGTCTAAAAACTCCCACCTCATCTTCAAAATCGTCCTAAATCGCTGCAGAAGTACCGACCCAGTGTTTACAAAAGGCCCTTTTGCACCGCGGGAACCTTTTCATAGTACCAGAACTAATTGTGGAACTATCCACTTTTCGGCGTGTTCGCACCGCCGGAACTGGGAGCGATTTTAGTACCGTACTGCCTTTTTCGAGAACCAAATTAGCTCCTACTCCAGAGCAGGGTCTAACCAGCACAACTGGTACTAATCTGGTAAGTAGACATTGATTGGCCAAACGCGTATGAAAACGCCCTCACCCGCCATGATTGTAGCAAATGTAGCACTGCCAGTTGTAGCAAATGTAGCACTGCCACTTGTAGCAAATGTAGCACTGCCACTTGTAGCAAATGTAGCACTGCCA